TACCCAGATGCTTGAAAACTAGGGTTTCACTAAGTCTGGCTGTCGGGGAGAAAGAGAGAAGATGTAACCGCTCCTACCAAAGCTTCTCAATCTCTTCCAGAACTGAACCACCCTCTTTTGGAAGTCAAAAGACACCTCCCAAGCACTGAGAGCCACACCAAAAGCTTCTTCTTTGAGCAGAAAAAATACATCACTTGTTGGCAGTCTTCGGCCAGACTTCAACTCTCCAAACCCTTCACCAACTAGGCAAAAGATCCTCTGAACTATAGAGAACCTATCTCTCCATACACTCTCCTAATCGAAGGGTGTATGGGAAAAGAGAAAAAGAAAAATAGGGAAGAAAGAAACTTGCTCTGATACCAAGAAGTGAATCAGTCCTCTAAAACGGATATAAACTTGATTAAAATTAGAGAGAAAAGTAGAGAACAGCAGTACAAAGGAAGAAGATGGAGAAAAGAAGAGGAAGAAGAAGAGTTCGATAATCTCCTCTCTCCCCCCTCTAATCCTTTTGTGAATCTTCATTCATTAAGCTAATTACAAGTATGCCCTTAAATGGGCAGCCAGCTAAGCAGAAACTTAAAGTAAGATTATAAAAAAGAAATAACAGGCCCACAAAGACAGGCCCATTAACAAACAAATAAATAACACACTACAAGAATAAAAGAATAGATACTAGGGCCCATTCGTCCCAATCTCTCTAAAAAAAGGAAAATGAGTGAGATTGAGAAGCTTAAGAGTGGAAGAAATTATGAGGAGGAGAATAGGAGTATAAAGAAAAGAAGAGGGGAGTGTTGAGTAATACCAGCCCAGGGGTGTCACAAATCATTACTATGAAAATAATAAGTTGGAATGAAAGAGGATTAGGAAATGCCAAGAAGAGAAGACTAGTCAGAAATGTATTCAGCAAAAAAAAACCAGACTTGAGCATGATTCAAGAAACCAAATTATTAGAGCTGAATAGAAGGTGGATAAGGGGCGTTTGGGGAGCAAGGGGTTTGAATTGGTCATATGCACCCTCGTGGGTTCAGGGGGAATTCTGACCATATGGAGGAATGAGGAAATGGAATGTGTGGAAGAATTGATTGGTCAGTATTCAATCTCCCTAAAAATTAAAAGAAAGGCAGACGGAAAATTATGGGCACTAACAAATGTGTATGGTCCTAATTCTTACAGAGAGAAGCTTTCTAGGAGGAATTATGTGTTGTCAAGGGCTTGTGGGATGGTCCGTGGTGTGTGGGGGGTGATTTTAATGTCATCAGATACTCGGGGGAATCAAACAACCCGAACCAGGGATTTACTACTAGCATGAGGAAGTTCAATAGGCTAATTGATTCTCTGGAATTAAGAGACCCCCCCTTGCTTCAGGTGGACTATACTTGGTCAAACTTTCAATCCCCCCCAACCTGCTCTAAACTGGACAGATTCTTCAGACCATTGCCCTATTTGTATTGAAAAAGAAATCCTAGGGGCAGGCCCTTCTCCTTTCAGGTTTGAGAATATGTGGTTTGAAGACCCTACATTTAAGATTAGGCTAAAGGAGTGGTGGGAGGCACTCAGGTTGAAAATGATAGGTTTCTCCCGGAAACTAAAGAGGCTAAAAGAAAAAATAAAAGACTGGAATAAAGCCCATTTTGGAAGGTTAGAAGAAATAAAAAATAACTTGGTGGGGAGGATTGAGGAGCTAGATAGGAAAGAGGCTCTCAAAGTTATTTCCGAAGAAGAAAGAGGGGAAAGATGGAATCAAAAGCAAAAACTGGAAGAGATATTACGAAAAGAGAAAATTTGTTGGAGACAGAAATCAAGGTGTCAGTGGCTTGTAGAGGGGGATGGAAACACTAAGTTTTTTCATTCTCTAGCAATTGGAAGGAGAAGGAAGAACTTAATCCTTAGTGTGGAGGAGAAGGAGGGACAAGTGGTAAGAGAAAGTAAGAGGATTACAAGGATTTTAGTAAATCATTTTAAGGAAATTTTTGCAAGCCCACAAGGAGTGTTGCCAGAATTGCCAAAGTTGGAAGGGGATGTTCTGTTAGAAGAGCAATCTCTTGCTTTAGAAAGGAGATTTTCTTTGCAAGAAATCAATGAAGCTATTTTTTCAATGGACAGATCTAAAGCCCCTGGGCCGGATGGTTTCTCCATGGCCTTCTATCAAGAGTGTTGGGATATGGTGAAATCAGAAATCTTGGAAGTCTTTAACGAATTCTTCTCCAAAGGGGAGGTTTCACCAGGAGCAAATGCCACATTTATCACTTTGATTCCAAAGAAGAGGGAGGCCAAAACTCCTAAAGACTTTAGACCAATAAGCCTCATTGGGAGTGTTTACAAAATTCTGTCAAAGGTCTTATCAGAAAGACTAAAAAAGGTGTTACCCTTGATCATCTCTCCTTTCCAAGGTGCTTTTGTAGAAGGAAGGCAGATTGTGGATCAAATCTTGGTGGCTAATGAATGCATTGTGGAAAGAAGAAATGGTAGAGAAAATGTGCTGGTTTGTAAAGTAGATCTAGGAAAAGCCTATGACTTGGTTAATTGGAAAGTCCTAAAAATATTAGAAAGACTAGGATTTGGAGCTAGATGGAGGTCTTAGATTAAAGGATGTTTAAGTTCAGTACTCAATCCTAATCAATGGTACAGCAAAGGACTTCTTCCTGGCTAGGAGAGGAATTAGGCAAGGTGATCCCCTATCCCCATTCTTCTTTACCCTAGTGGCAGAAGTGTTAAGTAGAATGGTGGCAAAAGCCGATGCTCAAGGCCTTATTAGAGGTTGGAGGGTAGGTAGAAATTGGGAGATTGTCACCCATCTCCAATTTGCAGATGACACTATCTTTTTTATAAATGAAACAATGAGGAAGTGGTGGAAAATTTGAGGGTGCTGCTAAATAATTTTGTGGGAGTGACAAGGCTGAGGATAAATTGGACCAAAAGTGGAATTGTAGGAGTCAATTTGGAGGAAGGAGAACTAACAAGATTTGCGGAGATCTTAGGGTGCGAAACCAGAAGCTGGCCTATTAGTTACTTAGGTCTACCCTTAGGAGGAAATCCTAGGTCAGTTGGGTTCTGGAAACCAGTTTTAGAAAGGTTTGATAAGAAGTTAGCCCTTTGGAAGAGGAATTATATTTCTTTGGGTGGAAGAATAAGCTTGCTTAGAACCACTCTGGCAAACCTCCCCACCTATTTCCTTTCAACCTTTAGAATCCCTTCTAGGGCAGCAAGGTGATTAGAGAAGTATATGAGAAATTTCCTTTGGGACCCAGGAGAGGAAAGGAAGGACCATTTGATTAAGTGGGAGCAGGTTAGCAAACCTAAGGAACAAGGGGATTTAGGAATTGGGAACATCCTTTTAAGGAACACAGTCTACTAGGTAAGTGGCTTTGGAGGTTTCCCTTTGAGGGCAACAGACTATGGCACAAAGTGATTGAGAGCATTCATGGGGTGGATGGAAATAGCTGGGATGCAAAAGTTTCCCCTCACAATTCTTCAACTTCTCCTTGGAAAGCAATTCATGAAATCTACCCTAGTTTCCTCAATTCCATCCGATTCGATGTGGGACAAGGTAATAAAATTCTGTTTTGGGAAGATTTATGGGTAGGGGAAACCCCACTTAAAGACCAATTTCCTATCTCTTTACGCTATCTAACCTCAAGGGGGAAGCTATATCCATTTTGGGAACACCGTGTCAAAACGGTGTGAACTGGAATTTGGGCTTTAGAAGGGGACAAAGGGAAAATGAGTGTGAGTCTTCAATCCAATTGCTAGACCTCCTAGGGCAAATCCACTTGGACCCTTCACTGGAAGACTCTAGAATTTGGGTAGGCTCTCCAAATGGCCTCTTTTCTTGTTCCTCTTTCTTAAAGTACTTGTTTCCCCCAACCTCCTAGGTGGGGATTTCCCTATGAAAGAAATTTGGTGCAAGCCTATTACCCGAAGATCCAAGCCTTCTGCTGGGAAATATTCCTTGGTAAGGTAAACACTTGCGATATGCTACAGAAAAGAAGGCCATACATTTGCCTTTCTCCTCATGTGTGCTCGTTGTGTAAGGAAAGTGGTGAGACCCTTTCTCATTTAATGATATCCTGTTCTTTTGTGACTCGAATTTGGGAATTCTTTTGTACTCCCCTTGGCTGCAGGTGGGTTCCCCCTCAAGATGTGGCAAGATTCTTCAACCATGAATTCTTGAGACAGCAAAAGAAAAGAGGGATGGTAATGTGGAAAGCAACAAAGGCAGCAATTTTGCTGGGTAATATGGGAAGGGAGGAACGACAGAATTTTCTTGGAAAAAAGTAGAGCAATAGAGGAAGTGATTGATAGTATCAAGGTGAAAGTAGCCCATTGGGTAAAACCCTTGGATTGCTTTCAAGTCTTCTCAGCCACAGACATTCTAAGAACATGGTCAGAAGTAGCACACTCTTCGAGAGTAAGAGATAAAGTAAGGTTGGAGTGGAAACCACCAGAAGGCAATAAAGTAAAACTGAATTTTGATTGGAGCCCCTTGGGAAATCCGGGCATCTTAGGAATAGGAGTATTAAGAAATTCTGAAAGGAGGATATTGGGTATATTCTCAGGACCGATTGGCACTGGAAACTCACTGAAGGCTGAACTATTGGCATTACTACAAGGGTTAAAGCTAGCCAAACAGCTAAGATACAGACATGTTGAAGTGGAAGGGGATTCAAAAGTAGTAATTTCATGGGCAGCAAACAGCAGCCATACCCCATGGGCGTTTAAACATGTGATTAGGGAAGTGGAGAAGATTGCAAAGGAGGTTGAGGCTGAATTTAAATGGATCCAAAGAAGTGCAAATGGGCTAGCTGACGGTTTAGCAAAACAGGGGGCATTGAGACAGCAATTATTTTGAGCTGCACTGTAATGAGGGATAGAATAGAGTGATTTAAGGGGGATCAATAGTCCCATCACCAAGTTGTATAAATTGTTTACAATCTGAATTTTAATAAAATACATGTTTACTAATCAAAAAAATATAAGCAAGAGTTTGGAGACTCTCATACACGCCATCATGCTTCCCCAATGGTTCATCATATTGAATTCCAACCCAAAAGCCTGGGGCAATATTTTCAGCTTTACCAACAAATTTTACAACTCCTCTTTTTTCTCCAGGTTCAACTTCGCATCTGTCTCCAACCTACATCAAGGAATTGCTTTTTGAATTATTGTTTGAAGAAAAAATAACCATAAAAACACTGACGTAGACATATTATTTTTGAGAAAATTTAACCAGGATTTATTAAAGGAAGAAGAGGTACATGAGAAGATGTACAAAGCAGGGGAAGAATCCCTACAAATTACAAAGGAGGAAGCTTGTTGCTATACAAATGCGCCAAATACACACCACATTTGGCTAATCCATATTATGCTAAAAATTAGTACATCTGCCCCCAGCATCAAATGTCATCTTTGTACAAAAATACATTCTGATAAGATTGAACAAAACACACTAACCATTATCTATTACAATATCAAAGACAATACCGTAAGTCTTAAGGCAAAAAAGGATCTTTCTGCATTAAAACATCTGAGAGAAGGAAGCAATATCAGCACACAGACTTCTAATGTTCCAATTTTCTCTTCAGGTATCCATTTATTTATTGCTACCCAAACATGGAAAGAAATTTACCAAAATGTTATTCTACATATGGAATGCATCCAGAAAAATCTTCATATATTTACTATTTTTTTAATGAGCCTTCATACAAATATTCTTTGGACTCTCAAAATCTTTCCCTATTTAACTTTAAAAAAATATAAAAAAAAAGTTGCCCTGAAGAAAAGAATTTTGACTATTTGTCCACTATTAGAATGCATTATTGTTAAAAGTAAACAAACAGAATCTAACTAAACGCCACTATGATGATGCTAATGAAATCATTTGTCCATTATAAGAGAAGTTCCTATATCTTAATGGTTGCCATGGAGGCCATCTCCTTCTGCAAATGGATGAGTTATGTCAGCATATAAATCAGAAGGTCCAATAGCCTATATATTCATAAGTGACACAGGTTACAAGACCAGGGAGGGTGAACCCAAAGCTAGAACTATGAAAACTTGCTATAGAATCTAAAAGGGCCAATAACAATCAAAGAAATATAATGTTTCATCATCTAAGCCTTGTCCCGACCATAAGGGGTTGGCTACATGAATCATTTTTGCCATTCTGTTTTGTTCAGTTCTATATCCATCATTAAAATTATGGGTGCTTAAATCATTTCTTATTACTTCCACCCAAGTTCTTTTTGGTCAGCCCCTAGCTCTTCTAGACCCTTCAACCTAGATTACTTATTCTATCAGGTACTGTAGATGGTCTTCTATAGAAAGTAGAATGGCTAATGGAATTAATCAACTGAAACCCAAACGTTTTGGCCAAAATGTTTCAGTGGCTACCCAAGTACAGTCTTCTTAGACTTGTATATCTACATGGTTTCAGGTTAGCTACTTCTACATGTAGCAAAATGGTACATGGGTTGTGGAGAGTGAAAGTGAAAACTGAAATTTTCCTTCCATATCAAAGATTTGTCCAGTCTTCTAGTCAATGTGAAGAACAAATCCATTACAGGGAATTGAGAAAAATGGCATTCTTTAGCATGTGTAGGGGATCCAAACCTTATAATTGCTTTCTTTATCAGCAAAAATAAATAATAGCTTTGTTCATGATTAAAAGATCCAATTTTTTTATTGGAAATGGTAACTTCATTAGTCAATTAATAAAATTTCAAGGGTTTCCTGTATTGCCCTAATTTTATGGATTAATAGAATTATCTTCATTCATCAAAAAAAAAAAAAAAAAAACTTCATTAGTCAATTAAGATATATCAAGTACAACTGTCAGCCCCTGAATAGGGTGCCAAGCCCCAAAAAACCTTTTTACAATTCTGCCCAGAAAAGATTCTCCCTCAATGTCCCCTGTTTAGCTAAAGTATCAGCTAGTCCATTAGCTTATCTTCTAGTCCACTTGGCAGAAACCCCAATCTCCTTTATTATGTTGGTAATCTCCCTTATAGAAATCAGCTTCCCAAGGACATCTACTACTAAGGTAAAAAGGGGGATAGGGTTCCCTTGTCTAATACCCCTCATAGGGATGGCAATTTTCCCCATAAAACCGGGGACCTGCCCCGAATGGAGCGGGTTTTCCCCAATATAAAACAGGGACAAGGTGGGGATGGGGAAAATATTTTTGCCCCAAACCAGGGACAGGGTTTGCATATAATTCCCCAAACCTGCCCCGAATCCGATGGTAAATTAGTAAAACATCCCTAGATTTAATATTGATTTTAAAAATATCTCTAAGCTTCCCCCAAAATCTTAAAATCCTAGGATCCCATAATTCCATTCCTAAAATACCCCCAAATTGTCATAATTCAATTCCTAAAATACCCCCAAATTCCCACATCTTATTTGTAAAATATCCACAAATTAAATTATTTTTAGGCGGTTTCCTCGGGCAAGAAAAATTCAGGGATTCCCTATCCCCGATGGAGAGTAGGTGCCCCGCCCTGAACCCGCTCCGCCACCACGGGCAAGGCAAGGACAAGGAGAGGGTGCCCTTCCACAAACCCTCTCCATTGCCATTCCTAACCCCTCAAGGCCGAGAAAAAAAATCTACCATTGTCCCATTCACCAAAACAGAGTACAGTCCTAATACATCCCAAGACCCATTTACACCATCTCTCTCCAAATCCAAAGCTTACCATCACCTCTATCAAAAGCAACCAATCCACCATATCATACACTTTTTCATATCCTCCACATTTTCATTTACTATTAAAATTTGATCAGATATCTATCTCCCTTTCACAAAAGCCCCTTGACTAGGTGCAATAACAGTAGGAACTAGGAAGGGCTTGCCTAATCCTAAGAGACATCACCTTCACTATAATCTTGTACAAACTATTCACAAAGCTGATTGGTCTAAAATCTCTTGGATGGAAAGCATCACTCTTCAGAGGAACCAATGCAGTAAATGTGGAGTTCAATCCCGGATTAATTACTTCTCTCCTGTAAAATTCATCAAATACTAACTGAATGTCCTCTTTCAGTATATCGCGAGAATCTTGACAAAATGCCATTGTAAACCCATCTAGCTTTGGTGCCTTTGATCTATCTTAGAAAACACTACTCTCTTTATTTCCTCCAATTCAAATTTTCTTTCTAGCCAATCCCTGATCTTAATATCTAGTCTTGGCCGCTCCAGTCTTTCTACCCGCACTTTTCCATTTAAGAGCCTTCTAAAAATAGATTTGAAATGATCCACAAAACCCCAAGTATCTCATCCCGTTCTTCTCCTCCCATTTGCCACAACATAAAAGGGTTTTTTTTTTTTTTTTGAAACTGAACAGCATAAAAGAATTTTGTATTCCTATATCCCTCCTTTAACCACTTGTGCCTCAACTTTTGTCTCCAATTGTTTTCTCAAGGTCCATCTTTGTTCCTTGTCTCCTTCCTCAAAAGAACCCCTTCCTTCAAGTCTAGCTCCTCAATTTGGTCAATCACAACTTGCTTCCTTTCTTCTAATCTCCCAAACTCCAACATGTTCCATTTTTTAATCTAGGTTTTTAAATTTTGAAGCTTCTTATGGAACCTCATTCCTTTCCATTTAACTCTAGGATCACCTTCCCCCCACAAATCATTAACTTTCGCAATAAATACCAAATGTTTTTTTTCGAAGAATCAAGAAGAAAGAAAATTTATTAAAAGCAAAGGTTACATCCTATCACATTGGTTGTCTAGATGAGTATTTCTCCCCTTCTTTTTTCAGGTGGCATATGAAAAGGGGAAGGACTATGTGGAGAGGACTGAGGGCTGCAGTATGCTAGTCATTATGGGAAGAAAGAAATTCCAGGATCTTCTCAGAAGTTGAGAGAGGGGCTGAAGAACTGAGGGCTATAATCCATATTAGGGCTGTACAGTGGCTGAAATCCTTAGAGCTATTTACAGATTACACAGTGGATGACATGTTGAGGAAGTGGGGTGAGATTGCAAACTGTACACAGGCCAGATCAGTAATGAGTGTGCCTTGGACCCCACCACCTGCTGGATTCATAAAATTAAACTTTGATGGGAGTAGTAGGGGGAATCCTAGACAGTTTGGGATTGGGAGTGTATTTAGGGATGAGAATGGGGTCATTTTTGCCTTGTTTTCAGGCCCAGTTGGAGTGGGTGACTCCCTGAGAGCTGAGACCTCTGCAGTTATAGAAGGAATCCAGAAAGCTAAGGAGATGAATATCAAAAAACTCATAATTGAAGGGGACTCGGAGGTGGTGATAGGGTGGCTGAACAAAGATAACAATGGCTTATGGAATTACAACAATGAGAGGAGAAAATTTAAGTGGCTGGTGCGGGAAATGGAAGTGAAGATGAATTGGGTATAAAGATCAACTAATTCTTTAGCTGATGGATTAGCTAAACAAGGGGTGGAAAGGGATTCAATGTTTTGGGCCAAATTGTAATTTTATTGTTTCTTCCTTTCCTTTTTCTTTTCTTCTTGAGGGCTCAAGTTGTTTTTGGAAGATAAGAGTGTTTGTCTTCCTTTTTGTAATTATTTTAATGATGAATTAATGAATTTGTTATTGATCAAAAAAATGAGTAATAAATACCAAATGTCACAGCCACATATTTTCAAATCTAAACGGAGACGGACCAACACTTCTCAAAACCTTCTTACAAATCACCATTGGCCAATGAACTGATGTTACTCTTGGAAGTGCTCTTGAGTCTTGGCATCAAACCTCCCCAATGCTCTTCCCAATCCAGTGAGAATAGAAGCCTATCCAACTTAGAACAGATTGAGTTCATTTGGAGATTAGACCAAGTAAAATTATTGTGTAAAAGTGGGAGTTCCTTAAGCTCATAAGTATCCACAAACTGGTTAAACTTCCTCATACTTGTTGTCACCCTTTGCTTGGAATTACTAGTTTCTTTTGTGAATCTAACTACATTAAAATCTCCTCCTATGCACCAAGGCCCCTTACATAGTCCTCTAATATCCTCAAGCTCTTCCCACATTTCATTTCTCCCCCTATAATCATTGGGACCATATATATTTGTCAACACCCGTTAAAATCGATCCTCTACTTGTCTAAATTTCATAGGCACTAACTAAAAATTTAACTACAAGTTCTTCAATGCCTACTAACACTTCATTTTTTTCCACAATGTCACTAGACCCCCAGAGGACCCCCACGAAGTTGCCATTGCCTAATTAATCCCCCTAGCCTTCCAAACACTTTTGGCCTACCTACTATCAAACTCTACCCATTTGGACTTGTGAACTAACACCACATCCGGGTTTAATTTCCTAATAACCTCTTTTATTATAGTTTTTTTCCCCGCACTCCCTAGACCTCTCACATTCCAGCTAATTATTCTCATTTTAAACTTGCTTTTTCCCCTTCTATTGCTAATGGCCTACTTATTCCCCTCCCTCCTTTCCCCTCTTACACTAATTTTTTTATCCCACTCCACATCCATTCTCAATCTTTCAACTTAACTCAATTTCCTTTTCCTCACCTTAGTTTCTTTCTCTTTCTCCTTCTTCTATATATATATATATATATATATATATATATATAAAAAAAAACTTTCAAATCATTTAGATCCTTCAATTTGCATCCAAGACTTCCAACAAAATCCGCCACTGAGTCCTTCTACTAGTTCATGCCCTCTTTTCCTCTAGTATCTCCTCTCTCCTCTTCATTTTCTGCCCCTCCCTCATTTACTTTAATATTGTTTACTATTACCACACTTTAATAGTAAAATAAAGGGAAAACACTTTATTTATCAAAAGAAAATTACACAGTAACCTTGAGGTAACGAGATAGCACCTCAAGATACATTCTTAAATAACTATATCATAAGCTATAATAATACATGCAATTTTTTTTATAAATATTATTATTATTGAAAGAAAGAGATAAAAGGGAGAAGTTCCAGGTTAACTAAATGCATTTACATTCATCATCATTATCATCATCCATGCCTTATCCCAACTATAACTAAATGCAACTACACTGTTTTTGATAAATAATTTGCATATATTTAGTTTGGCTACCAATAAGTAAAAGGGCCTAAGTTCAGCCTTCATCATATAACTTTATACAAAACATGGTGATTTCTCTTTAACGATGAGAACAATTCCAAAAGCAACATATCTTAAAGTCGCATAATCTGCCAATTTGTTTAGCAGAAAAAGAACATAAGAAAAATAATTCTTGCTAACCTTGATTTTTTCAGCAAGGTCTTCCATGTAGTTATCAGGTATCTGCATGCACACTTCAAGTTAATAGAAGAAAATCAACAAATTCCTCCACATGCCTAGTTGTGAATACACATCATGTGCTACAAAATCGACGATGAAAGAACAAAAGCAGGTATGACTAGAGCAAGGCAAATCAGAGGCAAAATAACTGGATCTTTTGTTTTTGCAGAAAGTGACCAAGGGGATGTCTGTAACAAGTCAAATATAAATATGAAGAAACTAGAAAGCCCCAGGTATATTAAACATAACCTAGGTCTTCGAAAGTCCATGCATAAAGCTCCCAATACAGGAAAAAAAATAGTACAAATCTTAACATGGCAGAAAGTAACAACTAAGGTCTTCAGAAATCATAAAGGTAATATTTTGTTAGCCCTTTTAGGTCCAATAAGGGGAAGGAAATTCTATTAGAGCAAAACTTTTTTGCATTACTCCAAGGCTTAAGATTGGCAAACTCAATGGTATATAGAAATCTGATAGAGAGAGGGGATTAAAAGACAACAATCAGCTGGCTGAAAGAGGAAGAAGATGAGGCGTGGCACCTACAACATCAGATCACAGAAGCTGTTTGCTTATCTCATAGTTTGAATTGACATATTTTATATGGATGCCACAATTAGCAAATAGTATTGCTGATTAGCTAGCCAGGAAGGAATCAACAGACAGGAACTGATTTGTTGGGCCTTTTCATTAATTGAGATACAGCTTGTACCTCGTTTTGGTATGAAACCTCTGGAGGAACTACCTATAGGTTAATATTTATTGCATGGCATCTGTACCATATATACTTAGTTGTACAATATTCACTCTCATCAATAAAAGTTTATAGTTACTGTCTTACTGATAAAAAAAGCCCTAAAAGAATCAATCCTCAAACTCAAGTCTCTAGGCAACGCATTAGCCATCAAATTAGCAGATCTTGGAACCAATTGGATGAGGGGTTTAATCTGCACAACTCCTCCCTATTTTGATAGCATAATCTCCAAGGGCCTCTTCAGTATGTTCTCTCCAACTTGAAAATATATTTAATGCCACCTAAAGCATCCACAATGCAAAGCTAGTAAAAACTGAGAGGCTTACCTTACTTTCAAAGAGTGATGGATTTTGAGATGCTATTTTTTCCTTAAATTTCCTGATAGTACCTGAATTGTTCAAAGTGAATTTTGAATAATGAGCTGCTGAAAAAAGATTCACAACAACATCTAGGTCTAACCGGCTCTTTTTACTGATAAATTATATATATATATATATATATATATATATATATATATTTATGTAAAAAGGAGAGCCACCTTAATAAATAATATATATAGGTAAAAAGGAGAGCCACCTTAATAAATAACAGCTTACATGGTTAAAGGCAAAAAACAATGTACAAAAAGATAATGTACACCCTGCCTCTATATATCAAAGGATGCACAATAAATAACTTCCTGCCATCAACTGCAGGGACTTATTGCGCATATCAGATGTAAAGCCTGTAGCATTGTAATCTTGTTTATCTCCATATTAATAAAATTCTTGGATCTTACCAAAAGAACTACCACATTGCACATAAAACAACTATAAAAGATTTTGTTATATGATAATTGCAAAAAACAATAAAGTCGGATTTTATTTATTTCCTGAAGTTACTCAATATTTTCACAAGCACCCATGGTTAAAAAATTTGCTTTTGTCAGATAATAGCCTCTCCTTTTACAATAGCTTTCAGTTATCCTCTGCTCAAGGAGAATATTTTGGAATGTTTAGCACCATACAAGGAGAAAAATGAGGTTCAAGCCCACAAATCCTCTTCTTGTCCAAATTGGCCCCAATAAAAGAAATTGCATTTTTTAAGATGAACTTTGATGGATGCAGACCAAAAATAACAATGGGTCGAAGTAGTAAGAAATGATTTAAGAGCCCATAATTTTTTGTTTTTTAAAAAGTAATGCAATTTTATTCAAACTCATATAAAAGATACAAAAAAAAAAAAAAACACAAGAAAAGCTCCCAGCCGGACACAAGAGCACAAATCCACAGAATTACAAATCCCCTAACAGTAGGAACCCCAAGAGGCTCGGCTGAAAACCTTTAACAGTAGTAAGTAACCCAGGACACCAACTTACCAAAGGAGATGGACACTAGTTCCTCCACCCCCTTTGATTCTTTTAGGAAAATCCTTCTATTTCTTTCAGCCCACACAGTGTTGGTTATTGCAGCGGGGATAGACATCCAGACATAGAAGGCCAGCTTCGATAGCCCAGGGAGATTCCAACCCCACAAAAGGTCCAATAGAGATCTGGGAATAACCCAGGTTGCAAACACCAACAGTGCACAAAGAGCTGATTTGAATCTTCCTGCTCCTGACCACAAAGCACAGAGCACAGGTCCACCCCTGCACACCCCTCCTCTCAAGATTCACCTTAGTGAGGCACCTGTTAAGAGTGGCAGCCCAAACTAAGGCATTGACTTTTGAGGGGGGAACAGGGTTCCAAATCTTAGAAGCAGGAACTTTGTTGTGGGTACTACTAGCCAGGGAAAGGGCAAAGGTCTTCACAGAAAACAAACCATCCGCAGTCCCATTCCAAATCCAAGAGTTCTCAGCACTAGTGTCCAACACCTGTCTCATAAGTAACTGAGAGAGCTCTATATAACTCCCCAGCTCCCAGTCCTGAAAGTTTCTTCTAAATAAAGGAATACAAACTACCTTGATCCCTTGAACACTAACAATTCACCACTAGAGCCTCTTGGTCCAAGGCAAGCTGAAATAGCTGCAGGTTGAGCTCATCTAAAGGGCGACCAGAGCACCAGGGGTCCTTCCAGAAGGCCAGTCTACCACTGTTTCCAAGCTTCGGTCTAATCCCTCTGCAAAAATTTGGGAGATATGGCACTGAACAGAATGAAATGGTGAAAGAGGACTCATGTGGCTGAACCCACATAGTTGGGACAAGGTTTAGATGATGATGATGATGAATTTTGATCTGCGCAGCCTTGGTAACCCAGGCCAATCTGGGGTAGGAGTGTATTCAGGGATGAGGCAGGGCATATTTTTAGCATTGAACAGAATGAAATGGTGAAAGAGGACTCATGTGGCTGAACCCACAAAGTTGGGACAAGGTTTAGATGATGATGATGATGATGAATTTTGATCTGCGCAGCCTTGGTAACCCAGGCCAATCTGGGGTAGGAGTGTATTCAGGGATGAGGCAGGGCATATTTTTAGCATTGTACTCTGGGCCAGAAGGGAATGGAGATTCAGCTAGAGCATAACTGTGGGGTGTGTTGGAAGGAGTAAGAAGGGCTAAGGCTATGAACTACATGCATGTAATCATAGAAGGAAATTCTTGAGTGGAAACAGGTTGGCTGGAAAAGATGCAAGAGGGTCCTTTGAAATACAGGCTAACCATGGACCCTTCACGAGTTGGTTAACCAAGGCTAACCAACTCTGAGGGATTAGCCATCTGATGCATGAAATCATCTTGTAATACTTTTAGGGCAAATTTCTTAAAGTACCCCTATTGTATAGGAAATTGACTAACTCTACCCTTACTGTTTACATATTGTCTTAAAGTATCCCCAAGTTTTCTGACAATTGGCATTACCGTTAACAACTAACGGAAAAAATGAAATGTCGAATTTGCCCTCTACTATTCCTCAAATTTTCAAAATAGAACCAAACTGATGAAAAATTTTAATTACTGTATGATAGTCTTCAAAGCAGTTGAGGCATACTCTGGAGTTGACGATCAGTTGGGGATTCAAAGAAGTTGTTGAACCTTCAAAGGACTTGTTGGAGATTTCACTTTATCTGTCGTGTGAAGCAATTTCAGATGAAAGAGCTGAAGTTCTGATCTATTCTCTAGTAAAGTTGTCCAGGTGGTTTTCCAGGTAGAGAAGGTGTTTAAATACAAGTCTAAAACCCCATTACTGACCATGCCGACTCGGCCAAGATGCCGTTACTGACCCCTATGGGTGCCAGGGGTAGCAGTCATCGATGTCGATGTGGGTTTCATCCATTGTTGCTTCGTATGATGGGATCCCATGCAATGTCCCAATGACGATAGAAGCCACAGGCGCACCACCATGCACCATTCCCACCGGTCCACCTCCCTAGATCTCACTGACTCTACTCTACGTGCCTATTGATTTTTATCTGGTCAGCCATGGCAGCCATGTCTTTGTTGTTGTTGTTGCCTGGAATTAGGGAAATTGACAATGGTGATGGAGGAAGATTCAGCTGGAGAGGGATTGAGGTAGAGAAGGCGATACCAGTACATCTTCTCCTCCTACCATGTCGTTCCTCTTTGAGAAAATGAAACCCAACCACAGAAGATGACCTTGCCCCTTCAACATTTTTAATATATAGGCAGCCAAGATTGATTCAACCACCCAACAGTTGGAACTTGGAACCACCTTCAGTAAATTTTCTTTCTCTATTCCATTGTCCTCCATACTCTCCCTCTCTCTCTCTCTCCATTACGCATCACCATAGCTTAATACATAAGGAAAATTATTTTCAGTCCACTTTGAGCTCTCTGTCTTTGTAGTTTTTGCGTCTCATCAATCTCTCGTTCTCTTTCTCACATGATCAATCCAAACCCTAAAAAATTCCCAATTCTCTCCTATGTCATGTCCCAAAGCTTCCATAGAGGTGTGTTCTTAATAGTTGCAGAGAACATGAGCAAGAGAGAGAGAGAGAGGATTCAGGAAGTGGTAATGGTGAGATTATTTGTATTTTCTTTTGTATATACATTTGTAATTTGTAATTTGTAATTTTGTAGTTCTATTTTTCTTTCTTGGCTCAGGAGGAGGCACGATACATACTACCGCTTTGATGCTTAGTGGAGCTTTAGTGGAGCTACTGGAGTTCAGTTTCTCCTCCTGCTTTGATTTCTTGGGTTTCTTCTTTGATCTTGACGGAGTCGGATTTTTGGAGTTACAAGCGTCATTTAGGACAGAGATTCAAATGGGCCAGGGAGGTTTTCTTCTTTGATTTTTTTTTCTTCTCTGAATTTTTTTCAAATGCCATTTCGCCACTTTGAGTGGGATAGTTAGATTTTGTTTTTCAGAAGCTTAGGCACGGAATATGGAGGTTAGATCTGAGGGTCCTCCATTCAGGACTGATAAGCTTCCACTTCCGCCTCCACCCCCTAGGACATGTGTGCAAGTCTGGTTCATTCATATCTATTCTAACATTTTGCTCTGGACATGCATTGTTCAACTGGTTGCCCTTGGGGAACTCTGGAATCCACGATATATAGGATCCAGGGTGATGATGACCCTTGTTGCTTGATTACTCCAGTCCAACAAGGGCAATTTACCATTCCATAGATGAAGATGACCAGGGAGAAGAACTGGTTTTCAATAGGGCGAAACAGAGCAACACAACAGAACAACATTAGAGAAGAGTTGCCAGTGTGTGAAACAACATCTCAATACCAACTGGAGACGGAGATGGAGACAGAGATCGAGTGGAGTTAGACAATCTGTTAGAAAGGGCATTTTAGGAATTTTTAGAAAATATATTAATCACGTGATGTCACATGTGACGGAAAGTTAACAGCAAGGGATGTTTTAGACAATTATCAGAAAACTTAAGGGTCCTTTAAGACAATATGTAAACAGTGAGGGTAGAGTTAGTCAATTTCCTAAACCATAGGGGTACTTCGAGAAATTTGCCCTACTTTTTATTACCATGTTAAATAAAATTCAGAGTTGTTATTCATCATAAAAGGGGAAAGAAAAGCAAATGCATTTTTCATCCTTGGCAATTGAATCAGAATTTTCCAATGTAATTAAATGGAGCCATAGCATGGGGTGGAGCTTGTGGAGACTTACTATTTCACTGGAATACGAGAAATGTTGTCAGACATCTCAGATCAGATTTGGTGGATCTGAGAGACCTGAGTTCTAATGCTAATGGCTTGGGAAGGTTGGCATGGCAAGGGTTTTTGTATAGTTCTAGCTCTATGACCAATTAGGTAAGGCATGGTCAGATACAGGAAGGTCCTTTTGTATAGCTGTATGTATAATTTTTTTCATGGGTTGATTCCTTACATGCTTCTTATACATTACCACATGCACATACTCTAACCTACACTCCACTCTAGACATATTAATACAAGTTGGTTGCCTTCAAAAATACTTCTCATTTTTTCTAGAGTGACATGTTTTGCTTTTTTTTTCCTTGAAAAGGACATGTTCTGCTATTTCTAGCTGTCAGAACCATGCTAAGCAACATGAATTTTGATTTTAAGAAACCATAAGTTTTATTTAAGATTGGCATTTTGAAAATTTTTTACACAATTTTCTTTTAGATGAAAAAAAAATATTTTTCTACTTAGGACACCAGAAAACAATTTTGGTCATATTAAGAGATTATCCAAGATTCTAGTGCATCAGCTGGCATAGCAATCAGCAGGGGAAATCTCAAACCACCAAATTGAATTCAAAGGAACTTTCATCATGTATAGGGAGTGTGGGATATGGGGACACATGACCTGTCGATGGATCTGGAATCCCCTAGGTTCTAACTTTCCACCTGTCCCATTTTTAGGGAATTGGGACTCACCATTGCTATGTTCAAAATCAGCTTAATCAGATGAACTTTTTAACTGACTTGAGCACTGTGTGTAAAGCTGCTTCTAAGTTTTATTGTTTTAACTACAAGAAGAACTTCTCTCCATCAAATTAAATGTAGTAAAATCAGCAATTATATTCTATATGCATTCTATCCTTTGGCCTAGCAGATCTTCTAGTTAGGACCCAGTGACCCACCTGGCAGTGGTTTCATATGCTTGAAACATAGGACAAGTGGCAAGTTCTGGTGGCCCCAGAACGAGATATAAGTCTCCTGTCCCATAAGCAGAAATGCTCAACAAGGCAACACCAAAGGATCTATTGTAGTCTGCTGCAACCTGTGGCATGTAAATGAAGAGGAAATGGCAAGACGCAATAAATTACATTTGAGATGTAGCATTGAGTTCTTAATGAGTGCCTTCTTCTCTGGGTGAAGGTTGCATGTTGTATCCCCTTTTATTTGGGCTGGGTGTGATCAGATTTTGTAAGGGGCTTTGTGTTGGGCATGATAAACATATCTTTTTGTATAGTTGAGGAAGCTTTAAGTTGGTTCTATGGCACCTCTGAGCTGGTCCATCCTTGGAAGCTTTCTTTTTCTTTTTGTTCACAAGTTTATTATTATTGTATCCCCTTCTGTGCATTGTCTATGATACATATTTTCTTACCATGGGAAAAATGTATAAAAAATTCCTCTTGCTTAAGTACAACATAAGGATTCAAGGAACTTGCCATCAAGTTTATCATATGCTTCTTCAGAAATTGTATACTTTTTTACCAATGAAGTGTCTTCCAACCAACCACCAGAGGTTACCGATGAAGGATCCAAATCTATGATATGCATCCGGTACCTTGAATATATCAAATATGTGTCAGCCAAATGAAGAAAGAAAGAAAGAAAGAAAAGAAAAAAAAAAAAAACTTATATGGCAATAACATACTTTGACAGTCGAATGAAAAGAGAGCAGATGAAAGAGACTTTTATTAAGAACCGACAAGCATTTTCCCTATGACAAGGTTGTATTAATTACCTTTTTAATCCATTTATACAAATCATTTTTGCTGATCAAAAAAAAAAAAGAGAACCATCAGGCACTTTTATATTACAGTTTTACATGATGAGAAGAGAGACACATAATGATAGACAAACAAACAAACAAAAGATGCAATTAAAAGAAAATAATAAAAAAGACAAAAAAATATCATGAATAAAACAAGCTTATATAGCTAGATTTCTTACTCTATCACACATTGAATCTACTGATGTATATCATGTGATTTGACTGGTTTTTATTCATCTCTTAATAAAATAAACCAAAAGAAAACAAACCAAGTGAAGACACCAACTTTGTAAGGTCTATATCAAAAGTCCGCTTTGCCATCAGCCTGTGATAGTAGATGGACTTGTCAAAAGATTTAATTGGTGCCACATTGCTTGAGAATATTGGGGTGGTTCCTATGGACTGTCATACAAACAGGTTGAAGTTTTTAAGGGCTAAAAGGTCAAGAAGGATTTCTTCAGCTCTTGTTAACGGATATTAGTAACTTGATAAGAAAAAAAGAAAAACGAGCAAAGAAGGCAATAAGATAAAGAAAGAGAACTAATACAAGATAAGGCCACTGCAGTTGGCACCAATAGTTTCTATATAAGTTAGTACCCAAAGGTGAAGGGATCAGCATTATAATGGGTTAAGGGTATGCCACCAAGCCCTTGTTTGGCTAGTAAATCTGGAAAGGAATTGGCACATCTCTTAACCCATTGTACCCTCATTGTCATTTCCCGAGTTAGCCATTTAAATACTCTCTTTTCATTCAAGTAGCTCCACATGCTACTCTCCTCCTTTTGCAACCAGTCTATTACCAACTTCAAATCTCTCTCAATAATCAACCATCTTAAGTTAAGCTCCTTAGCCTTTTTGGCACCTTCCAAGACTGCCAAGACTACAGCTTGGAGGGACTCTCCTTCACCCTGAGAACATGGCAACTATTGCACCCACCTCATTCCTAAAGACCCCTTCAATGCCTGAGGGACCGGGGTTACCCTCACTGCTACCATCAAAATTCAGCTTTATAAAGCTGGGGACTGGAAGAGTCCACACTGGATGAGAAATAACCTTGTTAGGGGCTGAACAAGCAACTTCCTTCCAATTGTTCAACAGAGCTGAAGTGGGAATATCTTCAAATAACTTCATGGACTTCACACATTGTATTACCCTTGTCATAATTACTTCAATAATTGCCTCTCTAGATCTTTCCTTATCGGAAAATGTTCTTTGGTTCATTTCCTCCCAGATTGTCCAGCACACAGCAGCCCTTGTACATCTCCATAAAGCCTTCCCCCTTTTCTTTGTACAGTTAACGGCAGTAGGACCAAAGAGACTTTGAACATCTGGTGGAGGAGTCCACCTACAACCAAACAAAGAGAAAAACCATTCCCAAATAGAAGAAACAAAGGCACAGGAAATTAATAAATGGAAGCAGGACTCACCATCAGCTTTACAAAGAACACACAAGTTAGGAGATAAGCACCAAAAAGGCTTCTTTCTTTGAAGGAGGTCACTAGTGTTGATCCTCCCAAGAAGGCTTCCCAACAGAAAGCCCCAATCCTAGGTGGAATCGGTTTACCCCGTACTTCTTTAACTGGAAAGGTTTGCCCAACACTATGAGAAGGCACTGTTAAAGATTTGAAGAACAAAGCACAGGAAAAAAATACCGAAGGAAGAAGGAATCCATATTCTTGAGTCCAACTATGAAGGGTCCAAAGCAAACTCCTTGTAAGAAATGAAGAGACAGAAGGCTATTTAGGTCTGAATCCCTAGTTCCCCTTCTGAAACCCAAATCCCAATCAATCTAAAGACCCTCAACAGGAGATGAAAGGAAGGTGGGAACTAGTTCACTTTTGTAGTCAGACAAGGCAAACAAAGAGGGAAAGCACTCTTTCAAGGGTAATTCTCTCACCCACAGATGTTCCCAGAATTTTACCAAGTTCCTAGAGCAAAGACTATACCTGATAAAAGGAAGGAAGGAAGGTAGGGTGGCATGTATTGACTTCCAAGGAGAAGCACTGGTAGCTTGAGCCAACACTCCAACATCCCAGCCTTCACTGATAGCCCATGAATACACAAAATCACCTTAGCCCATAACCTATCCTTCTCAACTAGCAGCCTCCACAACCACTTCCCTAAGAGCGCCGTATTTCTTTTTTGAAGATTACCAATTCTTAAGCCCCCATAATTCAAGCTCTTAGTTATAGTTTCCCAATTGACCCTGTGATCTTTCCTTTTCTCCCCTGGTTCCCACAAGAAATCCCTAAATACTTTTTCTAGGCTTTTGGAAACCCCAACTGGCATTTTGAAAACTGAAAGATTATAAAGAGGTAGGTTAGCCAAGGTTGACTTAATTAGGGTTATCCTCCCTCCCAAGGAAAAGGTAGTTTCTCTTCCAAGAGGCTAACCTCTTTGTGACTCTCTCCACCACTGGATTTTAGAAATTGGCATTTCTCGGATTGTCTCCCAACGGAAGGCCCAAATAAGTCATAGGCCAGTGTGATACAGCACAACCCAAGATAGTTGCACAATTTGACATCTCCCTTTCATCCATATTCACTCCCACTACACAACTCTTATCAAAATTGATTTTCAAATTTGAAAGTTGCTCAAAGAGTTGGACCACTAGTTTCAGATTTCTCACCCAACTAAGATTACCACCTTCACAAAATAAGATTGTGTCATCCGCAAACTGAAAATGTGTAATAGGCACTCTATCCCTTCCCACTCTCCAACCTCTAACCACTTTAATGAATTCTTTCTCGAAGGAGGGGTGAATGACACTTTTATCACTTTAATTCCAAAGAAGAGGGAGGCCAAAACTCCTAAAGATTATAGGCCAATAAGCCATATTGGGAGTGTATACAAAATTATTTCAAAGGTTCTCTCAAAAAGGATCAAGAAAGTGCTACCCTTGATCATCTTACCTTTCCAAGGTGCCTTTGTGGAAGGAAGGCAGATTGTGGATCAAATTTTAATAGTCAATGAGTGTGTTGCAGAAAAAAGAAAGGGTAGAGGAAAAGGATTGGTGTGCAAAGTGAACCTAGAGAAAGCCTATGATCTGGTTAACTGGGAAGTTCTACAAATGCTAGAAAGGTTGGGTTTTGGAACCAAATGGAGATCCTGGATTAGAGGATGCTTAAGTTTTGTCCATTACTCAATTCTTATTAATGGTGTAGCGAAGGATTTCTTTCCACCTTAGTGGCTGAAGTGTTAAGCAGAATGGTGGAGAAAGCTGATCTTCAAGGACTGATTAGAGGGTGGAGGATAGATAGGAATCAAGTGGTTGTTACCCACCTCCAATTTGCAGATGACACAATCTTTTTTTGTGAGGGAGGCAATGAGGAAGGAGTGGTAAACCTAAAGTTGCTGTTGGATAACCTTGTGGAGAAGACTGGTCTAAGGATAAATTGGACCAAAACTGGCATTGTAGGGGTTAATCTAGAAGAAGGGGAACTCCATAGATTCGCTGAGATTTTGGGGTGTGAGATTAGAAGTTGGCCAATTAGCTACTTGGGTCTACCTTTAGGAGGAAACCCTAGATCAGAAGGGTTCTGGAAGCCAGTCATTGAAAGATTTGCTAGGAAGCTAGCTCTATGGAAGAGGAATTATATCTTTTTAGGTGGAAGGATAACCTTGATTAGAGAAATACATGAGAGATTTCCTTTGGGACCTAGGAGAGGAGAGGAAGGTTCACCTGATTAATTGGGAACAAGTTAGAAAGCCCAAGGACCAATGGGGGTTTGGGAATAGAAAACCATTCACTTAGGCTCCGTTTGGTTTGTGGGATGGGGATGAGAAAAAGGGAATATTCCAAAAATATTCCCTTTTCTCATATTTGTTTTGAGGGAATGAGAGGGATGGGGTGAGAAAAAGGTGGGATGTGAGATCCCAAAATCGAGGATTCAGGGTCACACTGTTTTGGTGCGACCCCGGTGGGAAAACTCGAGAAAATCATTTGAAAGGTGCCTTCTTCTTCTTCAACTGGAGTAAGGCGACGAACATCCTTGCCACAGACCAGTGGCAACGACGAACAGTCCCCTTCCTTTTGACAGCGGCAACGAACCAGATATTGTTCATTGCCTTCCCTATTCGAACAGAGGAGGCAGTGGTGGCACAATCCTTCACCGTTTTCTTCACCGTGCGGCAACAACGAATCAGATCTATTTCTTTCTCTAATCGCCATTTTCTTCACCGCTTTCTTCACCCCTTTGCATTTCCCTCTTTCTCTGGTCGCCGCTACAACTCTCGGCAGCGGCAATCTGCCTTCTCAGCACTTCCATATCTCTCGGCAGCGGCGATCTGTCTTAGGTTCCGGTGGTGGCACTCCCATGTCGATTAAGCACCGCCAGAGGAGGGGGGACTATCGGTGCTGGAGGACCTCTTTGGAGCTTCAGTCATGGAGTTCTCTGTCTCTCCCTCCATCTTCCTCTTCTCTCTTCTCCCTCACCTTCTTCTCTCTTCTCCCTCGTAACAGTGCTTTCCTATTATTTTCCCATATATAAAACCAAACAATGGAAGTGTAAATTTTTACACTTTCCCATCCTATCCCATCCCACCCAAATCTTCCCACAAACCAAACGGAGCCTTAGGAATTCAGCTCTGCTAGGAAAGTGGCTTTGGAGATTCCCTTTTGAGAGTGATTGACTGTGGCACAAAGTCATTGAGAGCATTCATGGGTTGGATGGAAATGGCTGCGATGCAAAAGTTTTTTTTTTATCAGCAAAAAAGAATTTTATTTGAAACTAGGTTAAAATAAGGTTTTACAGCTTTGTGTATGGGATTAAATCTCCCATACTATTACA